TTATGATGCTTGAGTCCAATGCATGTGTGTGGGGTGAAAACAGCTTCCTCTTCACACACACGACATGGATAGGCAATGATTTGCTCAAAATTCGCAAATGAACAGGGCTGAACTTATTTAAAAAAACTGCATACTGGTCCGCCATCACTCTTGCCGCCATCTTGAAAACAAGATCTGCCAGACGTCTCGCCCGTTGTCTCCTTCCCGCCGTCCTTTGCGCGCACATTTTCATCAAAAGAGAGACGTCTGGGTACGAGGCAGTCCCAAGTGGGTTATCACGCCGGTAAACCCATAGAAAGTGTGGTCTATTGCTTAAATAGATATTTAAAAGTATGCATCGTGGTATAAAGTGGCCTTTTGCTAATTCGTAGTTTTTGTCTTGTTTAAAAGTGCAGTCACATTCACAATTAAAAAATTACACAAGAATTAGTGAACTTTTTTTCCAATAATTTGACTGGTCAGAAACGGGACTTGACCAAGCGAAAAATTTCTTTGGCTGGTCATCATGTCCGCGAAAATTATTTTGAGACCTGCTTTACAACTAGAAACTGAAAATCTGGCTTTTAAAAACTTAGAGGGTTAAGTTTCGTTGTTGGTGTGCGCATGATTTTTCCTTCCTTTTGAGTGCCTTCACCTGTGCCATCCACAATCTTGCTGATTTCACCTCCAAGCCTTGTTTCTGCTCTAAGTTTTTCACAGCGACTGATTTGGTGTTCGGTTATTTTTATTGAATTGGGAAAATGTATTAAGGTCAAACAGAAAAGGCAAAGTTATGCTCTCTATTACGGGCTTTTTTGTGAATTGAACACAATTTTTACATTTTTATAATATTAAAACAATCTTGTCATGAAAGGTATTGTTCATCATGTGTATGAAGGGTTTCGTCTATCGTTTGTCTTGCAAATTCTAGTGCACCTTGTAGGTAGGAAAAGCACCCATTCCCCCACCTCCGTCAAGGGGTGCAATAAAAACTTACTTCATACTACATACATACTAGGAGACTTTCCCACGATCTGAGTTTTTTTATCATAATTGTAAAGAAACTTTTGGTGATCAGTCAAAATTTTGCTTTGGTACATCTTTTGTTATTATTTCTTGCTTCAAAAAAACCTTTCTACTAGCTGAAAATAGTGAACATTAAGCACCCGCCCCCAATTGGCACCAACTCTCAAGGTATTTTTTCCCTAATTATTTATACACAAAAATAGTGGTCACAGTTTCCTCATAATAAAATCGCCCATCCCCAAAATAATATTTTACTCTCACTAGCTATTTTTTAGTGCTTTAGGGTGCCAAATAAGTAGAATTAAGTAATTTTTTTGAACCGACTTTTGTTCTGTATTGCTAAGACTAAATCGTTCAGTTACTGTCATTGCACGTCAAATGCAGCTGACTATCAATAGTGTCTTCAACAAACATGATTACATGATTACACTTGTTAAAATTCACGTTTTATTTCTGAGAGCTTTTGAGAATTAAAATATTACACAAAATAACGTGTTAATTGATTTTAAATTATCTGTTCGTTAAAAACTATGCAGTATTATTTGTTAGAATTGTTTGCCCTGTATATCAAAACTTTAGGACACTCAAAATGTAAAACTATTAAACAGTGGAAAGGTCAGTGGAAATCAAATAATTTTCTGACCCAAACTTTAACCATTTTACATTACTTAATTACTTTTGGTTATTAATATTAATTTTATTATTAATATTTTAGTGTCAAAAACTAGAGTTATTTTATAGTAAAAAATTCAATAAGAGTGCCGCATAAGACAGCTTAGTATGTACACACAAACATTAGTATTACCCATTTAATAATATCATAGTCTTCAGCAATGTAGTCCTCTACACACTTGAGTGAATGTGAAGGACTGTCAGTGTACCCAAAGTTATCTTCAGTGACTGCTGTTAAAAAGACGCCAGTTGGCCAACTGTTGGTAACCTATCATTGACCTCTTGGCTGTTTTTCCCTTTTTAGGGAGGGGGGGGGGAAGAATGGGGGTTGGGTGGGTATGTAAGGCAGTTTTCTTCAAAATCACCAAAACTTAAACATAAAAAGGTATAATTACCATAACTTTGCAGTGACATTTTCTTTTGCTTTTGGCTCCTCTTTTGCAAAGCTTAAGATGTATTGATTGTAAGAGCGAAAACATGCATTACACACAACTGAGAAGTGATTCAAACAGTGCTCGATAAGATAATGATGAATGAGGTAGAGGCAAGTCTGAGATCTATTACTTACATTCCAGCAAAGATAATGACTGAGGGAAACAACATTTTAATTAACGCTTAATGTACATGTTTATAGCAGTGGAAATGATGAAAAGGAAAATATAAATGCAAAACCAAGCAAAGTTATTATAAAAACAATGAAGTTAAAAAGTGAAATAGCTGCTCTTGTTTTATTAGTCTGATAAAATGCAATTATAATGTGAGGAAGTGTGTAGGAACATGAACACAAAGCTACATATGTAACACTATTTACAAAATAGATCAAATATTATTTCTATCAACAGCAAACAATGGAAATAGGAACTGTTTCATAGTATTAACAGTAGCACTCTATAATAAAATTTCTATTCTGTTGTAGCTATTACATATAAATTAGAGAAGTGGTCAAAAAAAGTGACCTCAATGAGGACCCACCTGGACTAGGGGAGAAAGTCTATACAAGACACTTATGAGCTTGATGGATAAAAAATTTATTTATTATAGCTCAAAAATTAAGCCTGGTTCACACACAAATGCAAGAGCAAGACAATACATGCATGAGCAACATCAACACATTCAAATGCAAATGCAAATGCAAGTGTGAACACACTGTCATGGCTTGCATTTGCACTTGCATTTGCTGTGTGAGCCAAGGCAATGCAAATGCAAGGATAAAAAAACAAGTTCCATTGGTTTCATGACACCATGGCCCAGTGAAGTTGAAAGCAAGATTGCATATTCCATTTTAGATGAGAAACTGACAAAGAGTGTGCACGAAAACATTCGGTGCTTTATGATAAACATTGTGCAGATAAATTGAAGAAAACTCTTGCCTGAAAAGATGTGGCAAAAAAAACAAAACCAAAAAACCACCTTTTACGATAGAAAATATAAACAGCAAATACACACAGATTTAATACAGAAATGGATTTCAAACTGTTACAGTATGTGTCATGTTCTGTTGCATTAAATACTAAGTAATTTTTTTCTCCCTTGTGCACTCTCTTATGCAATCTATACGAAAGCCACAAAAGATAGACTTAACTGGGGCCAAAGCTCCGCCATCTTGGAAAACGTTTGACTGTCCTTGACTGCCCCTGCATATCTTGCCTTCCTTGCATTTGTGTTGCACATGTGAACGGCTTTTACTTTTGCACTTGTGTTGCACATGTGAACCAGGCTTTAGAGATAAGAATTAATCTTCTGTGTAAATGAAACTTACATTTTCAGGCAAACTGCACAAAGACATTTTAATCTTACACTTTTGATCCCTCAGTGATAAACAGGGTGTGTGTTGTGGGGGGGAGGGGGAGCTATTGAAATGAGATAGCATCTTTTTACGATAAAAGGGAGGTACAAAAAGAAACCAAGCTGCAAAGAGTCCTATCTACATTGTAGGTGCAATATTAATTATTCTGACCACTTCCCTAGGTAAAAAAGACCCCTAATTTTTACTTCTTTTTCTTTTTTGTTACTTCTGCAAAATAACACTGTTGATGGATCAATGAATTAATAAATGTTACACTATAATTTTTTATTGTTTCATGTCAACTATTTTTTAGTAGCAATTTGGATCTTCTTTTCTCAGTTATGTGTTATGTTTGGTTTGCCTAACAATTTTGTGAATAACTTTCTTTATTTTTTAAAATAAAATACATGGAAAATAAAGATAAAACTGATGGTCTAGGAGTTAACTTGGACATTCACATTGCACCAAAGAAAAGTGGTATCTTTTAGGTGCGGAGAAAACTTCCATTTATTGGGATAACAAATTATTAATTAAATAAACATGCATGAGAGATCTAAGAGGTTGCAAAAGCCTATGAATCAAAAATACCAACATTCAACCAGATCCCAGCATTAGGAAAAAAATTGAAGTGTCGTTAAGAATAAAGCAATACTAACATTAATATTAATCACACTATTTTGTTGCCCTTAATAACTGCTGGTGTTGAAGGCAAGTAACTAGAAGGGAAGAATTATTTAAGGGTTTGTTGTTTGATGCATCAAGCCCCTTTCTTAGTCAGTGAAAGCATTTTTCCCCAAATTGCAGCATGAACACCTTGTCAATATTAATTTTTGCTAAGTCAAAAATTTACCAAGCAACTAGTAGGGCTGGCAAATGGAATCTAGAATATTTTGGGTCTCAGAAACCTTTCATCTGATCTCAAATGAGTGTCTCAAAATCCTGTATTTACAACAAATTGTGTGTACAAGGTTTTGCAGGATCTTGGATTTTACCATTCACCAGCCCTAACTATTCAAATGCACAAAATGATTTAAGGATTTCTTTTGCAGCAAAAATATTATACACGAATCTGTGAATTTGGCTTCTGCCAATAAAACGTGGGCAGATTATACATACCCCTATCTAGAAAACACTTCATCCCCCTCCCCCCCCCCCCAAGCCTCCCCAATAATAAGTACTCTACATAAAAATAGCCTGCTCTTAGTAAATATGACTTGGTTACTTAACGCTTTATCAGAGTAAAGCCGAGCTTCTTTGCAAAAGACCTCAACAACTAAACCATTTTTAGCAGTGTGCGTACCATCCCTGTAAATAGAGGCATGCTGACACCAGACTGTGTGGATAATAGTAGCCGCCTTTCGATTGAACTACGAGTGCGAGATTGAGGATGACCATGAGTTTTCAAAGCAAGTTCGTGTGCCTTAGCACTTTTCACCCTTATCCCCAAGTCCCTTTGTCATGGTCAAAGGGAAAAAAGGGGCTGAAATAATCTCTTGTACTTGTAGTAAAATCTAACATTGCTTACTGTTCCACAAGGAAGGCAGAGTTATACTTTATCCTTGTTTGTGAGCTTTTCTATAAGTTCCTGAAGAGGAGCAAGCTCCCTTTTGTCAACTAAGCTAAACTCTTGAACAAAAAACATGAAATGTTTGAAAGATGTGTTGAGGTGTGCTTCCTCTCCAAGGCCAACTATATGCAGGAAATGTTGATGGTATATGTGGGCATACACTCTAAACAGTCGTTTGAGGATTGTCTTGGCAATAGACAGGAAATTCTTTGGAAATGGAACACCTGAAATATTCAAAAGAGAAAGACATGTACATCTCATTAATTTTAGAGTTTTGACAGTATTGACAATGCAAGGTGTCCAGGCATAGGTAATCACATCAATAAAAATCGGTAGAAATCAAGTGATTTTTATTGATTGATAACAGAAATCAGTGAAAAACGATAAACTAAATTGATGTGTCAGTCGATATAAAGATTTCCGACAATAGATTTTCATTGTTTCCCGTTAACAATTGATAAAAATCACTTGATTGCTGAAGATTTTTATCGATTTTGATTTTTATATGCACTTGGCCATAAAAACTGCCATAAAAAACTATCAAATTATCCTAACAGAAAATTATTTTCACCCTGTGGTGGGATGAGGCCAAACTCCAGGCATGCTTTTTTTTCTCTTATTTACTGCAAAACTACCCAGAAATACATCAGCAAAGCTCACCTATTTTTGATGGGAAAAGAGTTTCATCATCCAGTTGATCTTGGACCCATGTCATTAGATAATCAATGTATTTTGGTGCAGAACATTTTATAGGCTTCTTGATTGTTGTCCCATCTGCCCAATGGTATTCATACCTAACAGAAAAAAAATGAATGTCAGCTGACTCTTAATAACATAAAACTAAAATTCAAGAACCTTTTTTTAACAGACCACTTCCATTGGAGTGATTTTACTTAAACTGTGAAAAAGATACTAACAATGAGTGCAAAATAGCGAGAAGTAAACAAAAGATGATGGAATTCGTGCATAATAGTGCATAGTATCCTACTACCTATTTTATAGGTTGAGTAAAACCAGTCTAAGACAAAAATTGTGTAGATTATACTGTAAGGTGACATTACTGAATATCACAATATGAAGTGGGAGATAAAGTCAAACGTAAGGCAAAAGAGGCAAGTATAGGTGGGAAAACAAAATCAACACCTGTAAGCAACTGCCATTTCCATTTTTCTACAATTGCTTTTAGTGAGCTTACACTACAGAGCAGCAAAAAGAGGATGGCAAAAAGTTTGTGTGTCACTTGCATGTTTTGTCACAATATTCACTTCACATTACCGTGTTCTGTTCTTTTGAAGAAAAAATCTGTTGAAATTTTTGACAAACATAAACATAGTCACACTTGTCACACAAGGTTTTGCCATTTTCTGTCCTCTACCATTCCATTTTGTAAGGAGGGGGACATTGGGGTTTACAGTATTGTGGTATTGAGCTTTTCTTCAAGTGGTATTTTGGTAAATTAAATTTTTATGTGCAGTATTGAGGTAACACCTAGCCCTGTGGCAGAGAGTTTTTCATCCTTGTGGCTAACAGTATTCAATGAAAGAATTTAATTTGCACTCACTTGTCTAAAACAGGTCAATGCAATATGCAACACAATTTCACAGTAAGCTATATCAGTCAATAAAGGTTTATATTTTCAGCCTTTAGTCAACACAGTGAATGATCACACAATTTCTGACAGTTTATGGCATTGTTGATACATCCAACGATCGGACTTTCCAACCTGTACACCAATAAATTTGAGGTCTTCTCACATTTTCTCACATTGGCTGGGGTTGATTTCTGGTGCACACATGCTTTTTAAGTTACCGATCATAAATGAGTTAACCCTATTTTGTTGATTTTCTACACAGTATTTCAGTATTCGACAGTTTTTCTTACAGTATTGGGTACCCCCTAATGTTCCCCTCTGTAAGTTTACTATAGCCAGTAACATGCCAATGAGATCTGAGCTGCACTTCATGGTGTTAAATTTTCATGGTAATGTAATGGTAATGTCATGAATAGCTGAAGAGCTCTACTAAAAGCCAGCCACTTAAGTACAAAAAGGGAAAGAACTTACAAGATCCAGCAAAAAAAATTCAACAAGGGACAGAGACACCAGAGCCAGCTGCAAACGGACATATGTCCAACTGGAGTACCACTCTAGCTGGACAAACCAGAAATATCTTCAGACTTACTTTAAGGGGACCAGTGTATTCTTTAAATACTATTAATGCAACTCTTCAGCTTCAAAATGATAGTCTTTCAATGCAATCTGTCTAGTCACTGGTCGAGTCTGAGAATCAAGTCTCAAGTTTGGAGGCTATTGAACTGAGAGGAGACAAAAAAATTTATTTTCTGTTTTTCCCTGGATTTTGGAAGTGAATGCCTCCAAAAAAGGAAAAAAAGTGCTTCAATGTCTGTTTTTGTCCTCGACTCCAAGACAAAAGACAACAAAATCGTTTTGCAAGGAGAGGGCTTCGAAATTAGCGGAGAGCAACAAGGGCTCCTACTACAATCAAGAAAAAAGGTGACAAGATGACAAAGCTTCTGAAAAACCCATTGAAACTACCGCGGAATCAAGTGTCATGAGTTTTTTAGCAAGTGGAGCAAGCTTTTTAGGCCGCAAAGCCACCAAGTGAGGAAAGAAGTCGCAATCAGAGGTCCCATGTCATATAAAAATTGGATGAAGGACTTTTTCGGAAGTCTACTGTAGCAGGAGAGAAGCTTCAAGAAAAACTCCAGGAAGCAGTATGTTGTCAATTTTGCAAGGGAAGTGTCGAACTTTTAGAAAATATATCGAGCAAAAGTGGGCTTGGCTCAACTTGCCTTGTCCGTTGCGAAAATAAAAACTGCCTGTCGCAAATAAATAACGATACTTTCTGGACAACAGAAAGGATCGAACAGAGCAGTGCCTTTGAAATAAATTGTTTCTCTGTTGTCGGGTTTTGTTTGCAACCTTTTCCTGCGGTATCACTATTGTTGTCCCTTTTCTGGTATGCATCAACATTGACAGCTTTGTTCTTATAATCTGTTATAATCTTGTCACACGAAATAAGCCACCAACTCAATGCGAGTTAGAGTATTGTTTCACAGGTAGCGCTAATGATTTGCTATCCCTAACTTCAACTGCTCATAAAAAAAGAACAAACGCACTTGACAAAAATCTGAGACATGGTTTTGTAGCCAAATGTGTTAAGAAGCGAACGTGATTTTAATTGGCCTCTTCCATATATTTTTGGTTAGCCTGGACTTAAATTTACAGGGACACCCACTTCCTCAAAAAGCTTATCATTTCTGAATGGCGTTAATGTTTTGACTTTTTCAAAAGAACAAGCAATAATCTGGAACTATTAAGCTTTCAGAAAACGTACAGTCTATGGGGGTATTTATAAAAAGCAAACACGGTAGTGCCGATCGATGCGAGGAGGGTGCTTAAGGGTTGATGATACCTTAAAGTGACATGGCAGGGCTCGAAGTTAACTTTTTAGTGCGCTTGCAAAGTTTTGCTGGGAAGATTTTTTTTTCCACTAGCAAATTTTTTCCTTTTGTTTAAGAGAAATGGATGATTCTAACTCGCAAATGATATTTTTCTCACTCGCAGATTATCAAAATCACTTGCATTTTGCAAGTTTGCCACTGTTAATTTCGAGCCCTGTATGGTTCTCAGAATATTTGAAGCAATTCCTGGAACTTTACAGAGAGCTGATGTTCTGGCTAAATTGCACATTCAGGCTTTGTTGTATTTATTTAAAAGATAGATTGCTGAAGTTGTTAAGAGCTTTTCTGAAAAATGTGGCAAGGTTTGTTCTCCCTTATGGTAGTAAACGTTTAATACACAATAGAACAAAATTGTTTTTAAATCAGTGAATACACCAAGAGCAATGTAAGAGTTATCTTGGTTCAAAGTTCACATTTCATTGATAACCTACGTGTCGTGTTGCGTTACACGCACAGTTGCGTTTCCAACAGTTTGACTCTGTTTTGTCAAATAATCAAAATTTTATATTTGAAATAACCCACAACTCATTGCGGGCGACAAAAGGAGCCCGCCACCTATTCTTGGTCAGCCGCATTCTTTTAACTGTATAGCAAGATTTTTTTCTTGATCTGTTCACATTCCTGTGTTGTACCGACTAATATGTGACCCTCTTTGGGAAAACGGACACTAACGCTTTTCCGTTAAACGGTCAAGAAAAACGGTTCTAAACGGATAGTAAACGGTTAACTCAAGCGTTTAAACGGTTTCCATAGCTCTTTAACCCATTCACCCCTGAACCGCCCGTAACCGCCCGTGCGGATCCAGGTCCTTTCTACCCCTTGTGACGTCATCAGTTTTAACGGTCGAGGACAACTTTCTTTGCTAACTTGTGTAGAGTGAAGAGATCTTTCAAACCATACCAGAATGAGCACGATTCAGTCAAGGACACCGGAGAAAGAAGCAAAAAACCACGTGACATTGACCTGAAAATCTCCATGAAAATCTTGTTACATTGCTCACCTACCTTTCCTTTCACCTAATCCTAAGATCCTAAAAGCTTTCCCAAAAACTCTTTGCACCAAAATGAAGCCTACTAAATGCCCAGCAAAAGAAAAAAAAAAAATGAGGCAAGAAATGCGAAAAAAGAAGGGAGGAGAGAAAGCGAAAAGTAAAAGTCAAGACTGCTGTGTCACTTTTAAACCCAAAAACTATCTCGAAATTTTGCTTTCTGCGCATGCCCGAACTTCGCAAGCTGATATTTTGCATCTGGATCAGAAGGCCGCGAAGTGTACGACCTGTAAACCGGTTTCTGGTAAGTTTTAGCTCTTTATAGCACGACAGTGACCAGAAAACCACTCGACTAGCTTCAAAACGCGTTTTTCGGCAAAATCTCCAGGAGCGAATGGGTTAAACGGATAGCAAAAAATTTAAACGGTTGCCCAAAGTCCAAAAACGGATAGCTTGAAGCGTTAAATGGTTGACCAAAAATATAAACGGTTAGCTCGAAACGTTAAACGGTTGACCAAAATCCCAAAACGGATAGCTTAAACCGTTAAACGGTTGACCTAAGTCCACAAACGGACAGCTGGAAACGTTTGAAAACGGATGAGTCGGCAAGATCGTTCCAGGAAAAACAGTTACTTATAGAACGCTAAACGGATAGTAAACATGGAGCATAATAACTTGAAGTATCTTGGCAAAATGAACCGGAATACCGTCTGAAAAGCCGTATCTGATGAACTTTATTCATTTGTTCGCTTCTCGTTTGCTCTCAGCTAAAACCCGAAACAACCAAACGAAACGAGCGAAAGCACCAAAATGACCAAAACCAAAATCAAAACGAAGAGCAAATCAAGAGAAATCGTTTCGGGGGTTTCGCTTGTTTCGGTCATTTCTTTTTTTTTTTTTTTTCATAACGATGATATCTCAAAAATATTTCCGAAACATGCGTACCATAGGTGTAACTAACTCTTTATAATACTGTTATGAAACCGTAGCTGTTATATCGCGAATAAACACTCCAGGTTTAATTCATAATCTCCTTCTTGAAAATGAACTTCACATGTTTCATCTTTTGTTGTGAAGTTCCACGAAAAAAATTTGCATACGCAATGAACCTTGTCACAAGCCTAAACGCATCGGGGTGAAATAACGCAACACGCTGGAAATAAGACTAGGTATAAAAATCGATAGAGTGCCAACGAGCAAATCATGCGTATTTTGCATAGGAATAGATTCCTTTTTTCCAACATTTGACAGTTTCTTGGTCCCTTCCTGTTGAAAGGATTATTTTCTTGAAACTATAAAAGTGTTTCATCTTTTGTTGTGAAGTTCCACGAAAAATTTGCATACGCAATGAACCTTGTCACAAGCCTAAACGCATCGGGGTCAAATAATGCAACACGCTGGAAATAAGACTAGGTATAACTATCGATAGAGTGCCAACAAGCAAATTATGCGTATTTTTCATATGAATGAATTCCTTTTTTCCAACATTTGATAGTTTCTTGGTCCCTTCCTGTTGAAAGGATTATTTTCTCGAAACTAAGGTGCTATCACAAGTATAAATGTTCGGAGAAGAGTCAGTACTCAGACTCCTGTGGCTTTACGAACCTGCTATATAAAAGTTAATTTGAAGTGTCATGAGGCATACTTTTTTGAAATTATAAAACAGCTTGCAGAGGAAGCGATTGGTAACATTTAGGCCTAGGGGGACATATAAAAAATGATCGTTTCTCTTACAACTACAAAATTAGTGTAGGTTCGGTAAAATATTTGTGAAAAAATATTTGTGCAGTTTAATCATTTAAACCTGCTCTGAAATAGACCTTGTCATGGTTTTCGACGCCATCTTGACAGGTAGGCAAACGCGTGAGAAATTACAGTGTTTGTATGAGAATCTAATGTCGAATAATTTCCATAGAACGGCTGTTCTGAAAAAAATATCTATTGTAAACTAAGGCTTCACTCCTAAGGATTCTCCTGAAAAAATTTGAGGGCGTTACACGCAGTAGAAGACCTAGAACTACTTTTTACAATTTTCTATACATTTGTCTGTAAGAAAGTCCCGGGAAAATTTCAGACAAATATATGGAAAATCTAAAGCAAGCCTCTGGAGAAATTTAAGCACAGGTAGAACCCCAAATTTCTTAGGACAATCCTTTGCTTTGTAGCTTTAATTTACAATAGATATTTTTTTCAGAACAGCCGTTTTACGGAAATTATTCGACATTAGATTCTCATACAAACACTGTAATTTCTCACGCGTTTACCTACTCGTTAAGATGGCGTCGAAAACCGTGACAAGGTCTATTTCCCGAGGCTTTTTGTTTCCCGAATGAATTTTAGAATGATTCGCTGCGCTGCATGAAATGTTTACAAGGACATGCGATGTACGACATGTACGGCATGTCGGTATTTTGTTTTCACTTTATTATAAACTCGGCAGGTTTCGAAAAAAATAGCGTTGTTTTCTTTTCCTTTGTCGTTCTCTTTTTTGTAATTCTTTTTTATTCTTACTTTTCCATTTGCTAGTTAGATTTTTTCCCCAACATCAGATTTTCCAACAGAAGCGACTATTCTATCGCGCTTTCGTTATCTCTTCGTGTAATCTGATCCTTTTTAGTGTCCCCCCCCCCCCCCCCAAGATTAATACAATACATCAAGTTTTCATTTTCCTTGACTGCCGGGGCCAGACAATAAAAGCGTACCACATTCAAGTTCAGTCTTCGCGTTCCCGCCGAGGAAAGAACGTATCGGCGAGTATCGAGCGACCATGCCTAAAACGGATAAGCAAACCGTTTAAACGTTTTCCCTAGAGCGTTAAACGGATGAGGAAACTGTTTAAACGTTTTCACGAATGCATGAAACGGATACAATTTTTTTTAAACGGATAAGCAAACCGTTTAAACGTTTTCGTTAAAGCATTAAACGGATGCAACTTTTTTTAAACGGATAAGCAAACCGTTTAAACGCTTGCATGAACCTATTAAACGGATTTAAACGAATAGTAAACGGTTTCCCCGTTTAAACGGAAAAGCGTTAGTGTCCGTTTTCCCAAAGAGGGTCACATATGCATGGTATGAATGGTATGTGGCACTGTGGGTCCTGGTGTTGAGTTCAAGGTCCATCTGATTTCACAGTAATCAAGTGAATGCACATGTTAGTGATGCAACAATCATTATTACACATTCGATTCGGAAGCACACGTAATTCAGGTACACAAGTACTCTACTAAATGGGCGACTTTTCAATTCCCCTTCCCGCCCTGGAATCTATTTACCCAGGAAAAGAAAAGTAGAGCCTGATCTCAGCTTAGTGCGGGACAAGTTTTCAAGTCTAGAAATCGATGTAAACTATAAAGTTTATTCAGGTTTCACTACAGTGCATGGTTTTCCAGGGTTTTATATTTTTATACATTTTCAAGCATGTTACATTGCCTGTCATCCGAAAACTTTAATCCACTTTGAACTCCGGTGGTAATTTAAGCTGTTTCATTATTTTGTATCGCATGTCAACGGCCTTTAGTCATTTAACACGGATTGAATATTTGATTGAGTAAAAAGACTTTGTGCGTGACTGCATACCCGCGTTACTTGTGTCACGCATTTAATACTGTTTCAATGTATCTTTGCCAGTGAATAAAAAACAAGCATCTTTTCATGCTCCCTACCATTCGCAGGCTAATTGTATCTAAGCAACTGCAAATAAAATCGTTGAATTAAATAATTATGTGACTATTGTTTACCGCGTTGTTCAATCCAGTTTTCATGACCTGCAGTGAAAGAAATTCACCCACATATGAAGCGGTTTCGCCCGCACTTTCTAGCCAACGGCTACTGCTAGGTAAAAACTTATTCAAACTATGTCAAATGTAATAAGCTTTACTGCCAGCACTTCACTTTCCAATGGAAACTGCTAGTTTTGGAAGGGATCACTAATTAAAAGGTATATTTGTGAGGAACCAGAGTACTTTGAAGCCATAAAATTATTCCTACAATGTTTAATTAGGGCACAATACAACTCAGAACAGCACGGTAGAACCCATTGACTCTAACCTTATAGAAGGTTTACTTACTTTGGGCCGGCAGACATGACAGGACATGACTCTGCTGAGCAGAACTCTGTTATTGTACCGTACAACATGTTGATTTGATTAAAGAAGTCCACAGCTGAAAAGAAGAACAAAACAGTGTCAAGGTCAACTCCATATGTTCTGTCTAAAGTTGATAGAACGTTCGTGAAAAAAAAAAAAAATGAAATAAAAATTAGTCAATGCAGACCTCGATACCCTCACAAAGTCAGACTTAATGAAGGATAATTGCTCGAGTTCTACGTGATGACCTGTAAAATGAAAGTATACTTATCACCCTCTCTCATTTAAGCTTAAAGAAGTTTAAAGTAAGCTTAAGTGACCATATCAACAAATTCTGTTGAACGAGTACTCCAGTGGTATTGGTCGTTCACAAAATTTCCCTGTTGTAACTAATGTCCTTATAAAAACAGGAACAACAAGAAGATTTGCTTTACAGAGGAATGACGGCGTTCAAACTTACTATTTACAGCGACCCATTCGTTCAAATCTTCTCCCTCGGGGAGCATGACCGCCAATCGTAAGTTACCACTACCAAGAGTTGCAGCCGCTTGTTTCATCAAATCATACTGATGTGTTCCTTCTGGAATGTTCTTCTTGGGTTTGAAAGTCTTCGTAGAACGGCCACCGCTGAAAGAGAAAGAAAAATAAAGGAAAATTACACTTTGACTTGAGCATACTACTTTCCGTCAACTCGGTAGTCGGTGCTCGAACCGCCGCTGCTATGAAATAAATTAAGTAGTATCTGTTAAAATGTAGCTTAACCCTTTAAGAATGATCAAAGGAAGGGCACAACTTACAATAGGAAGCTCATCTTGGCTTCGGAACACTCTAAAATCTGTAATGTTGTTTTTGCGCAATGAATCTTTCAGATCATCAATATGGCGGCCTGAATTAGTACCTCGTTCTGGCGCTTCCTTGATGAGCATAATCATTACGTCATTGGTGATGAAGACGCCATGTGTAACAAAAACAATATTTTTTGCTCCTTATCCTGCCTCAAACAAAGGCTTTTGTGACATCCTTTCGTTTGGAGAGGCTTTGGTCGTTGTCTCGTTTTGGGCGTACCTACCTGATGTGACGCTATCCGGATGTTGTTATTATTGCTATTTTTGGCTTTTATTTTTTGAGCTTTTGCTAGCCTGAGTATCAGGCCTTCCTAAGGGGCTAGGGGAGAGGAGATTTTAGATGGGGGAGGGGGAGGGGGCTTCCATCTTTCCCCTTTTCCCTAGAAACGCCTGATACTCAGGCTAAGCTTTTGCCTAAAGGACGACCACCCTGACGCCTGGGCGTATTTGGTATAGGCTTTTGTACATTATGCTTTTGTTTCCCCACTAAAATGCTCCACCTTAATGCTCCATTTTTCCCACTAAAAAGCTCGGTCTCCCCCAAAAATGTCGCTAAAATGCTCGGATAATGCTCATTATTAAAAACTGAATCATTGGATAATGCAATTCTAGCATTTTGATTGGCTTAGCCGTTATGGTATATGAGCTATTATACAAACGTTTTTTTTTTATTAATTTACTCTTGAGTCTTGAAAGGTAAAACCGCTGACTTGTCCTCACTCTCCACTCAGCTGTATTAGGTTTTTTCGTGAATTTTGAGTTTTAGTCTTCATTTTCATTAAATAAACAGCAGCCCATGGCCATGGGCTCCTGAAAAAAGTTAATTTCTATTTTATTTTCTCGCAAAAAATTAACTTTCCGGTAAAATGCCACTAAAATGCTCGAATAATGCTCAATGCTTTTGCCTCACTAAAATGCTCGAAAAAATGCTAGCATAATGTACAAAAGCCTAATTTGGTAGTGTCCCCGCCCAGTCCTCCCCTTATCGAGTTCACAAAAAGTTTGGAAAAAAAAAACACTAGGTTAAAATGATGTATAATTCAATTCCAAGGGTCCACTTGTGTGGTTATAGCGGAATAACAAGGTATTGAAAGTACATGAAACCAGTACAAACTCCAGGTTTTTGTCAAAAAACGACTCGAAGTTTAGAAAATCTAAGTGTACTGACTAAGTTGCTTTTTGAATCGATCAGCGGACTCAATGTTAATAATTTCTCTTAGCAACGTGTTCCAGACATTGACAGTTTTACAAAAATAACTATTCTCTTTGTGACGTTTTGTAAGGAAATGTATGAAAAGTTGGCTCGCCCAGGGTAGCTCCAGTCGGACGATCCTTCTTCTCAAGGAAAGCTTTAGTCCTTATAAAATGTGGCATAAGGCCCACCCTCTATTTTGTACAGAAGGGTGGAGAAGGAAACTCCGCGTCAAGGCTCATATGGGATGTTAAAAATTTACGTGGGGAAACTGGAAATTCTTATTGGAAAAAGTAATGGTCTACGCTACATGGACTGTCATCTAAAGCGATGCCTTTTTCTACTCTTCATCTTATTAGATTGGTTTGGCTGTCTTTGACTATACAAGATGTAGCGGGTCCTTGACAAAGTCAATGTTTAGCCGGATGGTTGTTGACATCCCTGGTTCTCCACCTGCCATTTTGTGCTCCTTGCGCGCCTTTGCGGCTTCGCCGCTCAGTGGTGCGTCTTACAAAACCACCACTGCTACGCAGAATACGGAGGAGATAGTGTCTACCTTCTAGTCTTGAACATTAAACGGGGGCATTCTGGTTGTTTATTAGAGTAGCCGAACAAAACGTGTCGTCGCGACTAAAGCGTTGTTTTTCTTTTCTGAGTAAGGTTTCACGTAAGAAGCACAACGCATGAACAGAGAGAATGGAAGGGCTAGCCTCCACCCTCCATTGCATGACAGGCATTTGAAAAAAAAGGACAAAGGCGGAATTAAGGCGCGCGCCACTGTAGTACGAGGTCAGCTTCCTCGCGCGCCTTTATTTCCTTATTTCCTTGCCTTAATTAATTAAGGCAAGGACAGGGAAGAAATCAGGGAAACAAAACATGTACATAAAAAAATTAATTGCCTCTGTTTATAAGACATTTTAACTTGATAAATATCACATTTGGTTTTATTCCGTTATTAGAGTCAAAAGAAACATCTCATCCAAAACTAGGCATTAAAATTACCGTTTAGAGCTAAATCAATACACAACTAACACAACAACTGTACATTTTAAAAGTCAAACTCGCTCTAAGATTAAAAACTAACTTGTTCCTTGCATTCACTTTGACAACATAAAACTCAAAAGCAAAGCACTATTATTCAAATAGCACAGTACGCAAGGTAGTGATACTCAGAACTGTGAGTGAAATTAACTTCAGACTTTCTCTTGAAAAATAATTAAGGCTACTAGTTAATAACTTCAAGTGGTTAACATGAAACAGGATTATGTATCATACTATCTGTTTGCACAGTAGCTGCCATTTGTACTAACCCCTCCTGCATGAAGAGGAAGTTTGCACAAATCATAATAAAATATCGACCCTGCGAGTGCCCATAATTTGGGGTTTGTTATGGCTGAAGTGAAGGTGTCATACAGACACTGACAATTTGTGCTACATCAATACGTAGTACAAAGAGGTAGTTCATGACTAAAAAGCTTACAGCACCATGAAAACTATAAAAATTATCAACTTGGAATAACCAGTTGGACTATTGACCACCCTTTAACAAACAAACTTTAACAAACTCAAAAAGGGCTGTAAAAGGATGCCAGCTAATTGCATGAAAGTACAAAATAATACAAAGCAAGCTACGTAGTTGTGTTACAAAGTTCATTGATATCCAGGATATGAGACCATCCCTGGCGTCCCTGTGCTCTGTGCTTCCTGCTTGATTGGTGTTTGCACACCACCAAAGAATGACCCACCAGCTGCACCATAGGCTGAGGCATCACCATACGATGCTTGCTGCTGCTGCTGCTGCTGTTGCTGTTGTTGATTAAATGGTGTGCTCTGCTGGGCTGGAGTGCTGTATGCTTGACCACCATAACTGCCTGTGTTCATGCCGCTGTTCATTCCGGTGCTCATCCCCGTGGACATCTGCCCACCATAATTTGTGCCACCAAAGTTAGCAGTTTGCCCATAAGAAGACTGTGAGCTGAAGTTTGCACCACTGGGTGGAGATCCAAATCCTCCAGCAGCAGCACTGCCAAAGTTGCTGGTTTGATTTCCAAAGTTCCCTCCACTAGCACTTCCTATCTGATTTCCAAAGTTTCCTTGTTGCTGCTGCTGCTGCTGCTGCTGCTGCTGTTGGTTGAACGGTTGATTCCCTTGGCCTCCAAAACCTCCCATGTTGCCTTGGTTACCAAAGTTTCCTCCACTGCTAAAGTTGCTAAAATTGTTCCCATCATTGAAGTTTCCAAAGCTGCCACCACCAAAGTTATTGTTGCTAAAGTTTCCACCTAATGAGAAATCAGCGAGTCTGTGAGACGTCTCATATTAATTTTTCCAACCATTTTGTCAAACAAACAGTGTAAAGGAAGGCACACACATGCCTCTCTGACCAAAATACCACTGGCTGGCTGGTCCAGTTCTCACAGTTCTGAGACCACTGTCAATAACGCTGAACAGCAACCAAGCCTATTGTTAATCAAACTGCTGCCTTCTTTGTGGTTGGTGGTCACTAGAAATTGTCTTTAACAACTACCTTTTCAAGCTGCAACTAATTGCAAAAATAGTGAGACACTCAGACAAAAAAATGGCCTTTTTAACTTAAAAATCACTGCTGGTCACACATCTGTGACGGAACACTCATCCTATCCCTCCCCTCCATTCAAAGTTGATTCTCCCGAGGCTGAGCAGTTGAGCATGGACTTTTTAATTTTGACAAGGGGAAGATGGGTGGGGAATTCACAAGCACAAGTTCATAGATAGGCTTTTAAGCCCAAAGAAGGAACAGTGTCTCAAGTACCGTAAGCTGACACTAACACCCCCCAGTTATGGGCCCATTTACCTGCAAACAAAATACTGAAATGAATTCTAAATGAAAAATGATCATCGCAGTTATAGACGCAACTTTTGCAATTGCGAAAAAAAAGCCTGAAAAAAATTCAGGCTTGTACGGGATTCAAATCCTTGACCTCTGCAATATAGGTGCAGCAAAAGTTGCGTCTATAACTAAGATGATCATTTTTCATTTCATTCTTCACCCCGCAGTTCTCATATATGATTTTTCATTATATTCATGACTACATCATCATCCTTTCAACGGTTTGTAACAAACCAACCCAATGACCTGCTCCCGGTTGGCTTATTAGCTTAATTGGTAGAGTGCTGCACTGATATCGCAGAGGTCAAGGGTTCAAATCCCATACAAGCCCGAATTTTTTCAAGCTTTCTTTTCACAACTACAAAAGTTGTGTCTGCAACTGTGATGATCATTTTTCATTTAATTATTCACCCTGCACTTCTCATACATGATTTTTTACATATTCATAATTGAAATGAATATTATTCGATTTATTACAACGTTTTGAGGCTTACTTTAAAACAATGAATGCATAATGTATTTTGATCAGCACTGCTGAAGCTTGTTCTGAACTGCTTTTACTATTCTGGTGATGAGCCCCTCATTTATAACCCCTCCTAAAATCGCTCATGAAGATGTATAATCCCAGGGCTTGTACGCGACATTATACAGGATATTTGCATCTGGTTGTAGCTCTAAAGTTTTGCTCAAAGGTTAATGAAGCCCCTCGGGCGTTATTGACAGGAGACACTGCTACTCACCCCCACTGTTACCACCAAAGTTCTGCTGTCCTCCTCCTCCTCCTGAGCCACCCCACCCTCTGCTTGGACCTTCATCAGGCTGTGATCGCAAAAACAATTCAATATAACGATGACCTGCAAAAAAAAAAAGGAATTACATTTAGTATAAAAAATAAGTCTTCAAAGAAAAGGTATGAAAATGCTATGTCACCAGGTCAAAGCAGTCATTGATGTTTCACTTTTTCTTCTTTTTACAGTCATGCATTTAGCA